TATTATCAAATGAAATCTAAACCATTTGTTTTATTTTTTTGTTTTGTTTTCAATAAACATAAATATATTTAATATTTTTTTGTAAACTATAAATATTATCAAATGACATCACAATGTTTTGTTTTTTGTTTTATGTTTTTTAGAAATTGAAAATTAAAAATATTTGGTATATTTTTTTTTTTGCTTTTAAATAAAGGACTTATTTTTTTAAAAAAAATTCAAAATGAAAAAAAGTATTTTCATTTATTTCTAAAATAAATTTCCGTTCCCCCTTGTTACCTTCATCACCAATAGGACAACAAACGAACTGAATCAAGTTTTGTTGAGCTTGACTTCAGCTCGATAACTAATTAGGCTCAAGTTCAGCTAGGATCGGCTCAAGAAGATTTTTTTTTTATATATTATTTATGCTATTATTTAATATATAAATAATATATTTATTATATAATTTAAATAAAAATAAACAATGCGAACTTATTTGAGTTCGAACTCAGCTACTAAACGAGTCTAATATTCAAGATTAAGCTCAATTCGTTTACTAAACGAGCTAAACCAAATCCTTAATAAATCGAACCGAACCAACTCATGAAGAACCCAATTTCTCTATAACCCTAACCACCAGCCAAAACTAATCAGCACCAGCCACAAGCAAATCTCCGAAGAGCTTTGAGCGCACTGAAATGATCAAACAAACACCATTTGTGACATTCGACTATCTTTTAATGACCTTTCGATCTCCCATCAACTTTGGCTGATATTCTTACCATCAATTCTAGAAACAACCACTACCAATTATTACCTCCAATAATTCCTCAAAAATATATTATTTATTTATTTATTTTTAAGGAATTTTTTTTTTAAGGTCCCTAGTATTAAGATTTTATAGCATAAAGGACATTTAATATTTTAATAATGTCTAAGGTCCCTCAAGTTGATCCAGAGAAAATTCATGTCACAGAGAAAATTGATCCAAAATTTCTCTGACTTTTCCTAAACTTTCCACTGTAAATTTCTCTGCCCTCTCTTTCTCCAAATTTCTTTGCCTTCCATATACTTCCCACTCTCCCAAAGAAATTTCTTTGCCTTTCACAAAATTACATCTCCAGAGAAATTTTAAATTTCTCTGCCCTCCATGTCTTTCCTGGACTCAACACTCCAGAGAAATTTGAAATTTCTCTAACTTCACCGGCCTTCAATTGGTCAAAATGAATCTAGAGAAATTTGACAATTTCAAATCTTTATAGATTTTGACAATTTGAGGCACATGTGAATTTTTTTAGTGGATCAGCACAAATAAAACTGAAGGAGAGAGAAACCAAGAGATATTATCAGCAAATCAAAGATAGAACACAATTACATGATATATTATTTTTTGGAATGGAACTTGCCTCTTCACCAAAGATTTATTTGATCGCATATCAACCACTTCTTATGCACAAAGTTGGTGCCATTTAGTGGTCGTACGTGTCTGGATCCTTCAAGTATTTGTTGTAAAGCCACTTGGGTGTGTCGAGAGGATCTTCATTGCTTTGCACCGGATACGAATTCCTACTGCTTTGCCAATCATTTGTAAGCTTAATCCATTCCTTCCTCCAATCTTTTATGCAAAAATCATCACCCTTTTCCGAACTCTTTGTCAGAAATTTGAAATATGTGGCTGCTTTGGGGCCATAGTAATCTCGTAGAAGCCCACTCTAGTACTTGTTTCCTAGAAAAGGAGAAACAAATGTATCAATGTGCATCATATGAGCATTTTCCTAATGATAAAAACAACTTAATTAAGTCTGGTAAAAACAAATTTTCATATGTGCCTCAAATTTTTTGAAAATCTCAAATTGTCAAAATGAACCTAGAGAAATTTGAATTTTCTTTAGGTTTGAGTGAAGAAGCTATAAATATTTGAAATTTGAAATAAAAAAGTGAAACAATTGTAGGGGAATTTGAAATGTAAATGTTGTGACTTCCCAGATAGTCAATTGATAAATTCCCAGAGAAAATCACATAAACTCAGAGAAATTCACTGATAAATTTCCTAGAGAAAATCACAAAAACTTAGAGAAATTCAAAAAAAGATACTCAAAAAATTGACAAATTTGAGAAATATGTTCAGTAGATCCTCATGTTCTACGTCTTCATGTACTCCACTAACAAAAATGACCCCACCCTCACTTGCTGCAGGAATTAAAACAATTAGTGGAAATCAAATTTCTTCAAATTGGTACAAAAGCATTAAGAGAATAAAATCTACTCATGATTATGTACAGTTATGAACTCATGAAAGATTAAACTTTAAATTATATAAAAGTAGCATGTCATAACAAACACTTTTATGAGATTTTCAGAATTATTTATTTATTTATTTATAGTGAAACAGTTGTAGGGGAATTTGAAATGTAAATGTTGTGACTTCCCAGATAGTCAATTGATAAATTCTCAGAGAAAATCACATAAACTCAGAGAAATTCATTGATAAATTCCCAGAGAAAATCACAAAAACTCAGAGAAATTCAAAAAAAGATACTCAAAAAATTGACAAATTTGAGGAATATGTTCAATAGATCCTCATGTTCTACGTCTTCATGTACTCCACTAACAAAAATGACCCCATCCTTACTTGCTGCAGGAATTAAAACAATTAGTGGAAATCAAATTTCTTCAAATTGGTACAAAAGCATTAAGAGGATAAAATCTACTAATGATTATGTACGGTTATGAACTCACGAAAGATTAAACTTTGAATTATATAAAAGTAGCATGTCATAACAAACACTTTTATGAGATTTTCAGAATTATTTATTTATTTATTTATTTTGATCAGCGAGCTTTTCAGAATCATATGAATAAAAAAATTACAAGAAGGGAAAAAGATCAAAGCAATGCTTAATGTATGTCGTTTTAGATTCACTAACTGAAATAGTGTTCATAGAAAATTTGAAAAGTTTTTTGAATTTTAATTTCTGTTAGTTTTCATGCACTTTCTCAGCAATCAAACAGATTTCATTGACTTATTTTGAGCAATCTTCTCCAAGTTTACCAAAATACTTCAACAGCACAACTGCTTGCTCCTCCTCCCCCAGCTTCCTCGGCTGCCGTAGCTCCTTTATCGATGATCTTTGCACCACCACTTCTCTCTCAAGCCCTAACAGCTTCCTCTTCAATGAGTCACCCAATTTACTAGTGTTGCTTCTATTGTTGTGATTATTGGTTTTCTTTGATTTCTTGTGCTCTGTTTTTCAAACCCAAAATTGCTCCTCCTATTACTAGGAAATATGAAGTAATTGATCAATATGTTACTGTAGCAGATAAGGAGGAAGTGAAAAGGAAGATGCGGGTTTCCTTACTTGATGATTATACTGAGAAACTCTGTGCTCAAAGAAATGAGACTGAGTAAGATATGGAGATTCCTGAAGTTAAGGATTATAAACCTAGAAACGGCTTGGAGAGAGAGCCTTACAACAATGGCGAACCTCAGTGACACCGAGCCTTCGTTTCGGTGCTCTCGATCCACTGCGACACCATTCTTCAGTCCTCGATTCGTCGGAGTCAGCAACATGATGATCATGAGATCGAGATCGATGAGTTGATTTGAAAGAGTCAAATTTCTCCGTAATACATAGATGTGGGGTTGAGAGACCTTAGACATTATAAAATAATATTGTGGATATTTTTTATTACTAAAAATAGGAGAGGGACGTTGGACTAAATTTTCCTATTTTTAATTGTTGTTAATATAATTACATTTTTTTGCCTTTATTTTAATTTTTTAAAAATAAAACAAAAAGACATTATAAAACTATCTTCAATGATTCATTAAATAGATCATTAATTTAAATTTGATAACAAAAACTGACTTTTTACTACTCTACTGTTCATCAAATTCAAAATTTGTCAAATATTTCATCAAATTGAGAACGGATATGTTTTTCATCAAATCACAATTTATTATCTTTAATTTTCACCACCAAATATCTCCAAATAATTACTTCAAAATAAAAATTTATAAAAAATTTACGCAAACCGATCAATCGGCTGAACATCCGCTCAATCTTCCGATAATTTAATGAAACTCCATTGAACCACTTGATTTAACAAAAAGTTTTTACTCAAATTTTTACCCATTTTAATAACAGCGCAACGCCGTCGGCATGACGATCTTTTAAAAACACACTCATTGCATCCCTGTTTCTCTCCGCAGCCTCCCTGCCCTCTCTCACACTGCTCTCTTTCCATATGTATACTACATATCTTTTCCTTTTTTTGGGTGAATAATCTATGTATTCTTATATATTCTAGCTTTTCATAAACCCTAGTACGACACTTCAATCATCACACACTGCAATTAAGCTATAGAGTTTAGATTCACTTCTGTCTCTGCTTCGATCCTTGAATTTCACCTCCAATTCCTTTCTCAATCATCTATATAAAAACACAATTTATATATAGATATAAAAAAAAAAAAATATGGATCTTCCTAGTCTCTGCGTCATCCTTCAATCTGCACTTAGCCCTAATCCCGATGAACTCAAAGCCGCTGAACACAGCCTCAATCAGGTATTTTTATTTTCATTCACTTGTTGATTTTTGATCAATGTTTGATTGAAAAATTTAAATTCAATTTGTTACCCATATTTATTCATGTGATTTGTATTTTTATATTTTGTAATCGTTTCATTTGCTTCTAAATGTAATGGGTTTTTCAATAGTGGGTGATGCTATAAATTGTAGACTGTATATATTTTTTGCTAAATTAAAGAAAAAAGAGGATCATAACCCCTTTGCAGATAAATTCACTTGGATATAGTTTTTTTTTTTTTTAATGTTTTGTGTTTGTTTTTGTTTGCAGTTTCAGTACACACCTCAGCATTTGGTGAGACTGTTGCAGATCATAGTAGATGAGAATTGCAACATGGCAGTACGACAAGTCGCCAGTATTCATTTCAAGAACTTTATTGCAAAGAACTGGTCACCCCATGAACCACTTCAATCATCACACACTGCAATTAAGCTATAGAGTTTAGATTCACTTCTAGCTCTGCTTCGATCCTTGAATTTCACCTCCAATTCCTTTCTCAATCATCTATATAAAAACACAATTTATATATAGATATAATAAAAAAAAAATATGGATCTTCCTAGTCTCTGCGTCATCCTTCAATCTGCACTTAGCCCTAATCCCGATGAACTCAAAGCCGCTGAACACAGCCTCAATCAGGTATTTTTATTTTCATTCACTTGTTGATTTTTGATCAATGTTTGATTGAAAAATTTAAATTCAATTTGTTACCCATATTTATTCATGTGATTTGTATTTTTATATTTTGTAATCGTTTCATTTGCTTCTAAATGTAATGGGTTTTTCAATAGTGGGTGATGCTATAAATTGTAGACTGTATATATTTTTTGCTAAATTAAAGAAAAAAGAGGATCATAACCCCTTTGCAGATAAATTCACTTGGATATAGTTTTTTTTTTTTTTAATGTTTTGTGTTTGTTTTTGTTTGCAGTTTCAGTACACACCTCAGCATTTGGTGAGACTGTTGCAGATCATAGTAGATGAGAATTGCAACATGGCAGTACGACAAGTCGCCAGTATTCATTTCAAGAACTTTATTGCAAAGAACTGGTCACCCCATGAACCACGTATGCTTGGTTTGACGAGATTTATTATGTGGGTATTTGTGCCTGTACTGAATTGTTGCTTTTACAATGTTTACTTTATGCATTTACTTGTCCATATAGATGAGCAATCGAAGATCTTGCCCAATGATAAAGACATGATCAGGCAGAACATTCTTGTCTTTATAGCCCAAGTCCCTCCTTTGTTGAGGTTTGATGTTTTAGCTATTGATCTTTTTGCTTTTCTGTTGGCTCTTCGGTGGTATAACTCTCATTTTGTTTTTTGTTTTTCGACAGAGTACAGCTGGGTGAGTGCCTCAAGACCATTATCAATACAGATTACCCGGAGCAATGGTCGAGTCTTTTACAGTGGGTGAAGCATAATTTACAAGATCAGCAGGTTTTTGGAGCGTTGTTTGTTATGAGGATTCTTTCTAGAAAATATGAGTAAGTTTATTTCCCATATTTATCAAAATTGTTGATAGCATTTCTGTTATTGATCCTTTTGATATTGTTTAACAAATCTCACTGCCAATTGTGCTGGCCTGGAAATTTTTTTTTTTTTGTATTTCTTTGTGTTGGAGACGTCAATTATAGTTGTATGTATTGGAAGCTTCCCACACTTGTCTAATGACATTTAGACAAATAAAGAATCAATGAAATCTAGAAAGGAAAATAAATCCTGCTCCACTTTCCCCAACACTTGACAAAACTAGCAAAAACTTATTCTTCAAACATGACACCGAAATTTGTAACCCCTGAAAAGTCTGTTGGTTCTGTTCTAACCAAACCAGCCACATTAAACACAAAGGTGCCAAAACCCAAGCCTTTCTATGCCTCTTCCCCACCCGACCCCCCTCCAACTACACATAACCTCCCTCACTGTCCCCTGCTGCACCCAATCTGAACCAAACATTGCAAAAATCAAACTCCAAAGTTGAAAAGCCATAGGATAGGACAAGTAAACAGAAGATGCGAAACGGATTCAGCATCCTGACAACACATGCGGCACCAATTAACTAGAATCTGACCACAGCGGATCAAGTTATCCAAAGTCAAAATTCTATCACGCACAACCATCAATACCCCAAACCCTACTTTGGATGGGACACCGAGAAAATCCGTATGCCTGATAATAGGACATCGAGAAAATCCCTTAAGCACCCTTACATTACAACTCTACACTAACCCATCCTCCCCAAATTTGCGCACCCCCCCGGAATGCCATACAACATAGCCAATAAATCCACCAATTGAGCAGCCTCCCAATCATAGACTTGCCTCCGGATCGTAGCATCCCACACCACCAGCTAAAGACAAGAAGCTACCACAACATCCTTATCTACTTCAAGTCAAAACATTTGCGGAAACCGAAACACCAGAGTTTGGTTTCCACACCACCTATCCTTAGAAATGCCCTCGCACACCCCTACCCACCTGAAAGCTAACCCATCTCCAAAACTCCTTCAAACCTAACCAGATACCTTTCTACAAACCCCTTCCATGAGCAACCCTCACTTCCCCAGAGCACCAACTACCCCAACCAGACCCATATTTCACAACCACCAACAAATGTCGAAGCTGCTTCGTTTCCCCCACAAACCTCCATAATCACTTCCCCAACAACGCCCTATTAAAAGCCACCAACTTCCTTAATCCCAAACCACTCCCTCTTTCGAACTACACTCCTTATTCCAATCAACCAAATGGAACTTGAAACCATCACCCAAATACTTCCAAAGGAAATCACGGTACAACCTCTCCAAACAATGTGCAACCGACACTGGAATAACATGCACCGACATGAAATATGTAGGAATGCTCCCTAATGTGCTCTTAATCAATGTCAACTTCCCTTTTTTGGACAAATATTGATGCGTCCACCCTGCCAACTGGTGTTGTACCCGTTCCATCACCCCATCCCCCACCATTGTAGCGTTAAAAGTAAACCCCAAAGACAAACCCAAGCAAGTCACTGGCAAAACAGAAACCTTACACCCCAAAATAACTGCCAACTGATGAACACCCACCACTCCTCTTGTTGGAATCAGTTCTGATTTTGCCAAATCACTATCAAACCTGAGATTGCCTTAAAGCAAAGAAGAACACAACAAAGGTATCCTAATTGAGCCGCCTCAACACCACAAAAGATTAGAGCATCATCTGCATACAGAAGATGAGACACCACCAAAGGCGCTTCTGCCTCCATACTTACGTTGATAAGAAGTTGCTAATACAATTTTCTTCGTTGTTGAGTAAAATAATAGATGAGAAAATGCAAATTTTTTCTTTTGAACAGAAAATAAAGAAAAAATTGAGATGCTAAGTTAAGAGTCTACGATTAGATAGTAAAGATGTAGAAAAGAATATTTACAATTTTGTTAAATTGAGAAAAAAGAAAACAGGAGACTTTTATTAGATTAAATGTAATGTATAAAAAGTGAGGATTTGAGTGTGTTAGTAAATGATGAGAATATTAAGGAAATGTAGAAAAATTATTTTGAGAAACTATTAAATGAAAAATATTTGCAAAATTTAAGAGGATAGGAATATAATAGTCTTTGTAAGTTTTATTATGAGGGACTTTGAGGTGGAATTTATATTGAAGAAGATGAAATTAGATTAGGCATTAGGACCATATTGTATCCCTAGTAATGCTTGGAAATGCTTAAGTAAGGAGGGGGTGTTTTGGTTAATAAAGTTCTTTAATAAGATTTTCATGAGTAGGAAAATGACCTATATATAAAAATAAGGAGATATCCAAAATTGTAACAACTATAGAGTTTTTAAGTTGATGAGTTGTATAATGAAATTGTGGGGGAGAGTGAGCATCCCTTAAGGATTACTGCAACAATGTCAAAGAATGAGTTTGGATTTATAACCGGTAGATCAACTATGAAAGCTATATATTTACTAAGAATATTAATAGAAAAGTACAATGAACAAATGAGTGATAGACATGCTTTTTATAAATTTAGAAAAAACTTACCTTAGAGTGCCTGCCTAGAGATATAATATGGTAGGTGTTGGAGAAATATGGTGTGACCAAAAGGTATGTTGATGTGATAAATTACATGTGCGATGAGATTGTTTGTGGCTGCAATTAGATCACCTTTAGGAGAAACTAGGGAATTTCAATCACTGTATGATTGCATCAATCGTCAACTTTAAGTCCTTACCTATTTGCCATAGTCATGGATTAATTAACTAAACACATTTAAGATGATGTCCCATGGTGTTTGTTGTTTGCAGATGATATTGTTCTTGCGAATGATTCTAAGGAAGCAATTAACAATAAATTAAAATTTTGGAGAGAAACACTCAAGTCAAAATGGTTTAAAAATAAGTAGAAATAAAACTGAATATATGGAATATAATTTTAGTAACAATAGAAGTATAAATAGTAGAGAAGTGAAGATTCGAAACTAGGAGATAACAAATAGTGGACATTGTTGTTACTTAGGTTCGAATATTAATAAGGATAAGGAGAGATTGGAGAAAATGAGATCCATTGAATCAAAGTAGGTTGCTGTGAAGCATGAACATTTCAACTTAGTTGGCGTTGTCGTGTCAGACACTTGCCAGACATTGACACACCCTTGGACACGTGACGTGGTGTGTCCCATTTTTTAATTAATTTTTCTCCACCCCGGACACTTAACGGACAAATCATGGACACACGTATCCTACCTCTGGAAACACCACAAGACATAATTATCTTGCCAGGAGTTGTAAAAAGTGTTCTCATAATTTTTTTGTAATCACTATTATGTAAATAGCATTTTCTTCCTTGATTTCTAAATTTGTGTTTGAATATTAAATTGTCATTCTCAATTAGTGTTTAATTGCTGAAATCGCTAATTTTCTCCTTTTTTTTTTTACTTCCAATCTATAATGGTTATAGAAAAACTTGTCTTCTTCTACTTGTGTCAGTAATGCATGCATAATTTTTGATGTTGATGAAAGCAAACAACTTTGATGTAATGGTTTATGATTGATAAAATAGTATTCTCTATATTAAATAAAGTTTAAAGTATAGATTGAGTGATTTAATCTTGTTGAATTAGTGTTTGTTTTTCATTTTTTTCAGTTGTTTGTGGATATAATATTCATATACGTAGAAAATGAAAAAAATGTATATTTTGCTATATGCTTGATATGTTCGTATCCTAATTATTTGGAACTTGCTGTATCTGGTGTTTGTGTCTGTATTTGTATCTGTTTCTATACTTCTTAGATAGGTTGCTAAAGTGTGTGAGTTGTATCCATTCTTCTTAGATAGGTTGCTAAAGTGGAGGAGTGCTTTTGACATATTATGTGAGCTATATCCATACTTCTTAGATGGGTTGCTAAGTGGACGAGTGCTTCTGACATATTATGTGAGCAATGGATACTAACAAAATTGAAAGGAAATTTTATAAAACAACTATAAAGGCTGGAAATAATGTTGAGCTATTAAAAATCAAAACCTGTATAAAACGAGTGTTTTTGAAATGAGGATATACTTACATAGATTTGTAGTAAGACTTGGAAAGAAAAAATTAGAAGTGAATATATTTTTGAAATGATAAGAGTAGCACCAAGTGAAGATAAATTGAGAGAGGACATGCTAAGATGGTTTAGTGATGTACAATGAAGACTGATATAGTCTTGGATAGAACTCAACTCTAAAATCTAGCTATTAAGGTGAGGGTGCCCTCGTGGTTATATGCTTGATATTGCTTTACTACTCGGGCGATGTGAGATTTTGCTTCACACCCTCCCTTACGACTAGCGTGCTCACTTGGTAGCACTTGCAATGTGCAAGCTAGGGCACACCCTACTCATTCCTGAGTACTTTGGCTCTGATATCATGTTACACGGTCTTGGGTAGAATTCAATCTCAAAAGCTAGCTATTAAGGTGAAGGTGCCCTCACGCTTATGTGCTCAACATTACTTAGTACTTAGATGATATGGGATTTCGCTTCTCAATGCAATGCTAGGAAGAGTGATATGATCGCTATAAATGTAAATGTTAGAGGAAGGGAAGACCTAAATTGAAATGAGATGTAATAGTTAAAAAATATGAATTTATTTAATTTAATTGACCATATAACCGTTGACAAAGTGGAATGTTGGAAAAAGATCCACGTAGCCAACCCCACTAGATTGGGGCGCAAGACTTAGTTTGGTATAAAGGGAAGCTACTTAGGATTCTAAGGCTTGAAGAGATGGTCCAAATTCTATTAGAGTCGGTAATAAAATCTTCCTCAAGGCTTAAAATCCCATCTATCTAAGGGTCAGAGTTCACTGAGCATCATTTCTATTATGCAAAACCATAGGGAAATGAATGAATTACATGAAAAGAAGATATAATTAAATTCAATGGTAACCTTCTGGATCTGCTCTTCACCGGACAATATGGAAACATCTAGTTCCTCCGCATTGAGTTTAGAATTTCTCTGAAGTCTGCTTTTCTTGCAAAGGATGCTTCTTGGATTAAATTACGGCACTTGTTACATTTTCTGCTGGGAAAAATTAGGATTCTACCAGTTGAAATGCAAGGACCAGAAAATGCATGTAATGGCCTTGTTTATGGTATTCTACCATTTGAAAGATGTAGAGGTAGTGTTAGACACCAAGACATGGAAATATGTCCTCGTTTATGATATTCTACCATTTGAAGGATGCCCTCAATTAGACACACTGACGCTTAGTGAATTTGTGTATAATTAATAAATCTGTGAAAAGTTTTTAGTCACTATGTCAATACAACTTTAATAATTGTGGTACAACTTTTGATATACTTTTGGCATTAGCATATGCTTTCTTTTAATATTGTAAACAAAACATATAATAAAGAACGTTTATGATGATTATTCTGCGGGTCCTAGTAAAGAATCATTATCCTTTGCTTAATATATGTTTTTCACTTTGATTTGACTAGTTGACGGAGCTTAATACTTCACTAAGATACGTGCTAAGTTGTGAATGCCCAACTGCAAATGGTGGGAGGTACTGGGATGAATGACAAGCAACGGTTAATGAGTGCATTTTCATGCCATTCATCCCAGTGTTGTTAGAGGCGCACCTAAGCGCTCGCTGAAGCGAGGCGAGGTGAGGCTATTGCGCTTCATAGGGTTCGAAGCGAGGCGATATGGAGAAGCGAGGTTGAGGCGAGTGAAGCGAGGCTTAGGCGATGAAGCGCAAGGCGAAACAAAGCGTCGCTTCTTGCTTCTAAGATCTGGGCCCTTCATTTTTCTTGATTTTGTGTTTTTTGTGGACATGCATTGCACCTTAGAATTGCTTTCTACTATTTATTGAGTGTAAAACCCTAGTTTCTGGGGGTATCGAAAGGAGAGAGAGACGACAAGCAGAGAAAGAGGAGAGGAGAGGAGAGGAGAGAAACAAACCTGGTCCTGCTTCGTCTTCTTCTTCGGCATCGTTTCTAAGGTAAGTCTTCTTCTCCTACTTCTTTCTTCTTTCTTCCTGCTTCGTCTTCTCCCTCTTCTCTTCTTTTCGTCTTTCCTGCCTTGTCTTTTGTTTTTTTTTTCCTTCTCTTGTTCTTCTCTCTTCTTCTTCTTTCCTTTATTTCATCTCTCCGCAGATTTTTTTTTTCCCTTTTGTTTTTTTTATTCGCTGTTTTTTGTCTCGCTATGGTTCTGGGATTTTTTTTTTCCCTTCCTTGATTCTTGTTTTGTTTCTCTTCTATTTATTTTGCTGAAATTTTTTTCAATTAATTTTACTAAATTGATTTTACAATTGTGTAATTATTTTGTTGTGTTAATCGTATAATTATTTTGCTAAAAAATATTATACAGATTAATAAATTTTATAACATTGTCTTACTAATTAATATGTCATGTACTAATAAAAATTTAAAATTTAAAATATAATTATTGTCTTACTAATTAATATGTCATGTACTAATAAAAATTTAAAATTTAAAATATAATTCACTTTAATAATAAGATAAGTGTCACATTATCGAATAAAAAAAATAATAAAAATTATTAAAGCATTGCATTGATTTTTGATTAAAGAAGGGGGAAAGAATTATTTGGGATGGTTGATTGGTTTGATGTTTGATGTTTTTGATGAATATTTAGTACTCAGAATGTTAGATTTGTTGGATATTTTCTGTTGTTTAAGGATATTTAGAATTTAGAATGATAAATGCATGATAGTTCTTGAAACTATTTATATTTTTGTCTATACTATTTATATTAAAAAAATATCCTTTGTGTTCGCCTCGATTTGATGAAGTCCTCGCCTCACCTTGTCGCCTCGCGCTTAGGCGTTAGGAGACCTTGTCGCCTCAGTTCGCTTTTCGCCTTAAAAACACTGATTCATCCTACTACAGCAGGCCAATGCACATAATGCATGAGAGCTTTAATAAAAATTTTTCAAACTTACACATATGTGATACAAAGTTGAGAGCAAAATTTACGTATGTATTGAATGAATGAGAACCAAAACTGAAGTACAATATAAACAGGAAAACAACCAAAACCCTAAAAGCCTAATTACAGATAATACGACTAAACTACCCTTAATGACTAAACTAAATAACAAGAACATAAGCATAACATATTTCACAGAATGTATAGTTGTATATCTATGTTTATGTAAATTTACATTCAAATGTAAATGTGGCTGACTAGGTATATTGCCACATACTTCCAGTTTCAGTGACCATGTCAATTGTTCTATTTATAAGATCTTAACGTGTTTGCCCTTCACTTGGTATGGTACATAGAGTTATGGTGTTGGCATGTGCTGCATTCATGTTCTAGTGTGTGGATAGGTTGAGAGTCTTGTTTATTTTTTATTTCTCAAAAATAAACATCATTTAGTGTGAATTCAATTTTTTTTTCTTCTTTATTTAGCTTTTCTAAGTTTTCATTCCACCCTTTTCCTCCTTGAACTGATCCTTCTGGACTTGGCACATCTTCTACTTATTAATTGCTGACACTTCTGTGGCTCTGACTGTTGAGTTTTCATGCTCTCTGACTTTTAACGGGTGGGACAGCTTGTTGAAAGGCTTCTCTCTCTCTCTCTGTAATTATTTTTTTCCCTGTTTCTGGAAGAACGCCTAAACAAGATAAAAATGACAATGAAAACCTTAATTGAGGAAAACCAGTGATGGTTTCCCTTCTTCTTCTTCTTAGTTTACATTTTTCTCCCCATTATACTTTTATTATTCATAATTCTTTTTATAGCCATCAACCCTAATATGTTTCGGTTCAATCCCATTTGCTAACCATTGTTACCTTCTACATCCACAATCCCTAATAGAACTTCAATTTGCAAGCATTAATCCCTATTCCTTCAGTTATCGTAGCGAAAATAGTTTTGAAAATCTAAGTGACGTCCAGTATCATTGTGGTATTGAAGCTAATAGGATGTTATTTTGTATATATTCCATACCACCCTGTTTTTAAATCTCGATATATATTAATAAGCATGATGTGTATCTGATGCATGTATTTCTACCAAGCATACATGCACCACATAAATGCAGCTGCCTTTTGGGTTTTTTACGTGGGGGTTAAAAAATTGAATTCGCGAAATGCAAGCAATTGAATTTAGGGATATAATAAATTACGCATTTATTATAGGTTTCCATTTTTCACATATATTGGCTTCATGTAATTATTTCTTTGATTATTGAAGGATTCAATCATTGAGTAGAATATTGTCTTACTGAAGCTTTCTTTTTTTGCAAGATTATTTTGTTATTTTTGTTTCATTTGTTAAGCATTTTCGATTCTTTTGTTGTTCTTTATAGGTTCAAGTCAGATGAAGAGAGAGCACCAGTTTATCTCATTGTCGAAGAGACATTTCCTCATTTGCTTATAATATTTGACAGGCTTGTTCAAATTGTAAACCCTTCACTGGAAGTAGCTGACTTGATCAAGCTAATCTGCAAAATATTCTGGTCATCAATATATGTATGTGCTCACATGGAAAGTTTCATAGAATGTATTAATATTTCCCTTCTTTGTTGGATGGTGTATTGTTCATGTTAACAGGGGATAAAATACTTTTTCTCATCAAAATGTTTGCACCAAAAGCATGTTATGATGTGTGTGTGGAGACTTGGAATCTATTATGTTTTCCTTATTCATTTAGCTAACTATTGTAGCTGAAGTACATTATTTTTTGTTTTTCTGTAAGGCTTTAGGTTTGGGAGTTGTGTTTCTCTCAGGTATTCTTGTTTTCAATGAGCCAACATTTGGGAGAATCACAGATATGTTGGTTTTCAGTAATGATTATTGACATTTCGCAGTACAATGTGTGAATAAAATCCAAATTGCATCCTTTTACCTTCCAGCTGCAGCCTTTCAATAAGATTGTCAGTTTTGTATTGTTCATTTAAGAAAATCTCCTGTATGCTAATCTTCTTATCTTGGTAATCTTTCAATCTTTTCAGTTGGAGATTCCAAAGCAGTTATTTGATCCAAATGTCTTCAATGCTTGGATGGTTCTTTTCTTAAATATATTGGAGAGGCCTGTCCCAGTAGAAGGCCAACCTGCTGATCCAGAGCTCAGGAAATCATGGGGATGGTGGAAGGTAAAAAAGTGGACAGTTCACATTTTAAATCGCCTGTACACCCGGTGAGTTCTCTTGCTTTTTGAACTTATTTGACCTGTAATGGCTTAAAGATAACAATTGGTTTATCAGAATTTTTGTGTCTTGTAGATTTGGAGATTTGAAACTTCAAAACCCGGAAAACAGAACTTTTGCCCAAATGTTCCAGAAGAACTATGCAGGGAAAATTTTGGAGTACCATTTGAATTTGTTGAATGTGATCCGTGTTGGTGGTTATTTGCCTGATAGAGTTACAAATTTTATTTTGCAGTATCTAAGCAACAGGTTTGTGTTACATGACCTTTGTTCATTCCATTCCATTCCATTACATGATTTTCTCCACTGTATCATCTGTTGGTGTATTTACTGTAATTTGAACAAGTTTTTGTTGTTTTCCTTATGTGGAATCATAGCTCATACCTGAAACAACGAGCTTTTTTAAAGTAATTTTGGTTGCATAAGGGTTGTGCTTCCTCTGCATGTTTCTAAGACAATTTTCTTTGTTGATAATTGTTTTGAAGTAATCGGGGTCTAGAATTTTATGTGCTAAATGCTGGCAATTTTTAAGTTGGCTTTTGCAAACTTCTTCTTTCTTCTTTTCCTTTTTTGGAAGTATGGTTACGTCTAACTTAGCTGGCTATTGTACATTGACATAAAATAAAACAATTGCTGCTGGCAGAGTTGGATTGAGTTCTACCTTCCGTAAGTGTTCAAATGTTGCAAAATGATTGAAGAGGATTTGGCCTTAGAATTGTGTAGTTTGTGTGGTGCTTTGGGTAATTTGGTTGGGAAGGAATTGGAGAATTTTTTAGAATAAATATGAAGATTTAGAGAGTTTGTGGGAAAAATTGTGTTTCTTGGCTCCTTTTTGGGTGTCCTTTTCCATGGCTTTTAAAGGGATTTGTTTGTTTTTGATTAATAGTGGTTGGAGAGTGGTTTGTGATTTGTAGTTGTACTTTTCTTTTCCTTTCTTTTCTTTTTGGAGGACTTTTTCTCCTTTGCTTCCTTTTTTGTACTTTTTCCTACCATTATTAATGATATTATATTTCTTTGTAGCTGATAAAAGGGTGGGAAAAAAAATTGACAGAGAGAATAATATCAGCATAACACAGGAAAATACTGAATTAAAATTTGATTTTCTTGAAATCAGAAAGGTTCTATTTAGGGTGCTGCTTCTCACAGCTTCTGCTTCTCTCTAATTGTTGCTCTATGGTCTTATACATTGAACTTGCCTAGGCAATGCTGAGCCTGATATACAATATTTATTGCATCCAATTGCTTAACAAGTTTTTGTAATAGAAGATCAATGTACCGCAGAAAGCCAGAGACCCGAAAAATAACTGCTTTATTGATCAGGGAATTTGAAGTGCCTTTTCTGGCTTTTTTTTACATGGTTTCATGCATGCATGTCAAGTCTATTATGTTTAAGTGTCCGGGTGATTTAGTTATCACCATGATCAATCCTCCAACCACTTAGTAAAGTGAAATTCTGATGCAAAACATCTTGTTAAAAGTGGGTAAATCTCAAATATAGCATAGGAACAAACTTGGATAGTATCATCGAAACCAAGAGTGGATAAGGTAGGCTTGCTACTTTTCTTTAGTTGAACACTCCTGCAATGAGTGTCAGATGATGTTGCAATGGAGATATATTCTAAGTAGTCATATCTTCTATGTGGCGATGTTGCTTCCTATGTTTAGCTAATATTTTGGCCTATCAAAAAAAAGAAAAAGAAAAAGATTATTTAAATTTGATAGTTTGATGTGTGGATCATACTCAAATTTTTTTAATATGCAGTATTTCGAAGATCAGTATGTACAATCAGCTGCAACCAAGACTTGATATTGTTCTTTTTGAGGTAATTTTTCCACTTATGTGCTTTAATGACAATGATCAAAAGCTTTGGGATGAAGATCCACATGAATATGTGAGGAAGGGGTATGGTGAGTAATCAGAGTCTAATTTTGTCACCTAAAATCCTATTGTTAGTTTATTTTTGGGTTATCATCTCCGTTTCTTTGGTGCAGATATAGTTGAAGATTTGTATAGTCCTAGGACAGCTGCAATGGATTTTGTGAGTGAGTTGGTAAGAAAGCGTGGGAAAGAGAACCTTCAGAAGTTTATACGATTCATTGTGGAGATTTTTAGGAGGTATTTCACATTTTTCCGTCTATGGTAGACTAAGAAGCACATACACTTCTAAGAAGGTAGCGTGTTAGTGTCGGATATAGACATGGATACTTCCCGATACATGTCTGACATTCATCAAAATGTGTCCTACTTTTTAAAAGGTTTTGTAGACCTGAACACTATTCGGACACTTGAAGGGACACATGTCTATCGCTTAGACATATGTGTCCATCGACTAGACACACATGAAACTAATTATAAGTTTGAGCAAAATAACATAGGATACAATAATAAAAGAAAAACAATATAAATTTGTAGGAGTTAATGTTATGTTACATTTTTTTATTATCTTTGAATGATATATTCATTTATATGTCATAAATAAATATATAAAACTACATATTTTGTGCATGTCCTCCATGTGTTGTGTTCTACATTGTTCGAAAATTGTCGTGTCGTGTCGCGTGTCCATACTTCTTAGATGGTGGACTATTGTTACTGTTATGATGTACATGCATGCAGTAAGCTCATCTTTTCATGTCTTTTTTCTATTCCAGATATGATGAGGCATCTGTGGGATATAAACCCTATCGACAGAAAGATGGTGCTCTTCTTGCTATTGGGGCATTATGTGATAAATTAAAACAAACTGAACCTTACAAGTCTGAACTCGAGCGTATGTTAATACAACATGTTTTCCCTGAGTTCAGCAGTCCTGTGGGCCATCTTAGAGCCAAGGTGGGTTGTTCTTTGGCCTTTTATTTTGTTTTGTTAGGTTTTTTTTTGGGTGGCTTTGTTAGTTTAGATATCACATTTTGTCATGAATTTATGCTCTCTTTATTAATTATTTTCATTGTATATGGTTGTTTCCTAAATGTACCAAATGCTACATTCGAAACATCTGTTACTTGTACCTTTTGCCTTCACTTGCACCTTTTGCCTTCACTTGCATTTCACTAGCAAAAGAGCATGAATTTAAATGAATATTTTCTGCACTGCCCATAGTTGGGATAACGTTTCGTCAAGTAGAATGTATTCTAGTGATTGGGTTACATACCTACATAGTCTAGTCTAAAATACTATTTGCCGGTAAGCTTAAAGTTTTATGGTGAGTTCTATTCAAACTAGCTAGATAGTTCTAAGTATTGTCTGATCAACTGTGATGCAGGGAGTATGTCCATCTTAATCGCAACAAGAAATATATTGTTGTGTTATCTCTGGAAACTGTTTTGAGAATATGAGTGATACAGGGCATGTTATTTCTATAACCTCCACAATTATTATATCATCAACGTCTTTCTTGGAAACTTGTTGAAAAAACAGTATGGTGCGTGGGCACATTATTTTTCTACTTGTCTTGTTATTCTCTTGCTTGTAATGGGGAGTTTGTTGATGACTATGGTGGTGGAATGCTATGAATCATGGTCACGTCTTTGGAGATGACGTACAGGTGTCCGACATGTGTCGGACACACTCCGGACACATGTCGGACATGCTATAGAGAGTCAGACACGCTGGGATACTTGGGACACGTTGGGACATGCTGTGGACACGTTGAGGACATGTTGGGGACACATTGGGGGACACTCTAAGGACCATTTTTTAAATTTTTTTTATTTTTTTACTAAAATAGCATACTAAAGTTGATAAATTTGATAAAATTAAATATTTGATATAAAATAAATATAAAATATTTAAAAATATGACATAATAATTATATAAAATTATATGTTTTGCATGTGCCCCAACGTGTTGTGTCCTGCATTTTTTAAAAATTCGCTTGTCCGTGTCCGTGTCTGTGTCCGTGTTTCTTAGGTGGAATGTAACACCCTGCCCCAACGTAGAGGCTATTCCCTTGTCTTTCAAATTTACACAACTTATCTTGAAGTTCTTCTCTTTGCCATCTTTGAGATTTTTTAGCTTATCCTTTGCTAATATGGTCTGGAATGTTAGGCGGCATGGGTTGCAGGACAATATGCCCATATAAACTTTTTAGACCCAAACAATTTTCGTAAAGCATTGCATAGTGTTGTTGCGGGGTTGCGTGATCCAGAGCTTCCAGTTCGTATTGATTCAGTCTTTGCATTGCGTTCGTTTGTTGAATCTTGCAAAGGTACATTTCTGCTTGATATTCTGTTTAATTTTTTATTTGTATTTTTTATATTTTATTACTTCAAATGTTTCATGGTTTCATAAAACGGATTGTCTTTTTTGTTGCACAGATTTGAATGAAATCCGACCAATTCTTCCACAGCTACTTGATGGTATGTGGTTTATGAAACTATGTTCAGTAGTCTTAACACTAACTTTTGTGACTCCTTTAATGAATTTCAATTTTCCTTATTATTTCAGAGTTTTTTAAACTTATGAATGAAGTTGAAAACGAGGATCTGGTGTTTACACTAGAGACTGTTGTGAACAAGTTTGGGGAGGAGATGGCACCGTATGCTCTTGGATTATGCCAGAATCTGGTGATTCATCATTTGTCTGTGAGAACATTGATGCTGCATTTCAACTTTATATTCTCAAATTTCTTGTATTTTTGTTTGGTCTTTAGGCTGCTGCATTTTGGAAATGTACGAACAATGCAGAAGCTGATGATGGGGCTGATGATCCTGGTGCTTTGGCAGCAGTTGGTTGTTTGCGTGCCATAAGCACAATTCTTGAATCAGTGAGTCGGCTTCCTCACCTTTTTGTCCACATTGAGCCAATTCTGCTTCCAATAATGCGTAGGATGTTGACTACTGATGGACAAGGTATTCATACTACTTTCAGCATGTTTGTTTATATTGCTGCAAATTTTTTTTTTTTTTTTGTACTATGCCCTGGTGAGTTGATATCATATATCTTAACATATATATTTGCAGTATTTTTTTTTAAAAAAAAATTTCCCTTTATTGATGTGCGTAATCTATTGGTACTTGTAGGATTGTTTATCAACACTTCAATGATGGTCATTAAGACAATAACAAACTATTGTTATCTAGAAGATGATGCAGCGGGAACTGTGCTCCAAACATATTAATTATGGTGGAAAAGATAACCATTTTGCAATGTTTAGCAAACCACCTTTGTCTAAGACCTGAAGTGAACATGAAAAGAATGAGTAGTTAGATGTTCACTCAAAGGAAAAAGGACCTATCTGGCAGTGTTAATTAATTCTCTTGTTCTTACAACACAATGTGTGATGGCACATTGGAAAAAGTAAAAAACTGAATTTGCTTCAAGTAATTTACATTTGATGAATTGAAAAACATTTAAGTAGACACTATGTAAGGAAAATTAAACATGAAGCATCGGTTGTAGAAAAATAGATAAGCATTTACTATACGTCCTTTTGGTTAGCACCTAGCATGGAATTATTCCTTTAACACTTCCAATGCTATGTACTCAAAAAGTATTTGACCTGATTTTTTTATTCTTTTTCCCCCCATTGGTTGTGCCCCATACGTAGAAGGCACACATGAAAGATGCTTGGTTGGTTGCTTGCATGTGGATTAGAGTTGCTAGAAAGTGTAAATGCCGTACTGATTTCTGTTTTGGAATGCAAGTTCTTAAATAGGTACACATCGTTCCAAGATGCAAATTTAGCAATCCAAAAAAAGTTTCTTGTTCTTTCTTAGTATTGCTTCATGGAAACATCAAGGAAATGACTTAAATATACCATGGCATACAATTTTATGCAGAGGAGTTAGTGGTAGGGCCAAGGTACATCAATATTGAACATATGTAGGATGCAACAGGTATTGATATAGTGACAAGGGGTGCACAAAAGTTCTTCGCCTTTGCTTTATCATAATTTTGCTAGGTCAAAAGCAAGGGAGTGTCACATAAGGGTGGGGGAGGGAGTTCAGGTTGAAGATCTTCTGGGGGAGTTTTTGAAAAAGGTTTAGATGCCTGAGATTGGAGTGGAAAAAGGCGAGAGGGCTCAGTTTTCTTTTGATGGCAAAGCTCTTGAGTTCTTGGCTTCTTGCTTGGTGGGGCGGCTGAAGGAGTTTGGGGTGCCGTTAAAGGAGTCTAGCGTTCGGAATCATTGGATATGGTGGTTTCTTGAAGTGTGGCTGATTCAAGTGCAGAGTCTGTGATCTAGTTGTTAATATTTTCATTTATATACATAAAAATGTAAATTTCTTTGTTAATGTGTCTACATCGTGTTCGCGGTTGATTTTTTTTAAGTTGTGTAGGTGTTTCTATATTGTGTTGTATCAATATCCACTGTTCGTTTTCTTGCTTAGTTCATCAAATATTTTAAGATCCGAGTGTCCAATTTGGTTGCGGGAATAAAATAGTCCATGTAACATTGATTGGTTCCATGTAACATTGATTGGTTATGTAAGTACAAAAAGAGAGAGGGGTGGGGGGATAGAAGAATATAAGAAATATAAAAATATGAAATTTGTTTAGTTGTTTCATTTTGGTTTTCCCCTGGATATAATTCAGTTATCCTTTAAATGAGTAAGAGGTTTAGTTGATTCTTTTATCTTATTCCAATTTCTCATTTGATGATTATGTTATTGTATTCAGCAAAAAATCATATATATTTTTTGCTAGATGTTCATATATCTTTTTTCTAATATATTTTTGTGTTTGCAGAGGTCTTTGAGGAAGTTTTAGAAATTGTGTCAAATATGACCTTTTTTTCACCCACAATATCCCTGGATATGTGGACCCTCTGGCCATTGATGATGGAAGCATTGGCTGATTGGGCTATTGATTTCTTTCCCAGTAAGTTTGTATACATTATATTGCCTTGGCTTAATTTACAATAATTGGCATCTTGTTAATCCTTATCAGTATATATATATTTAGTTCTTATGGCTTGGTTTGATTTCCTGATTTTTATCCAAAAATTATCCTTTTGTTATGAAACTAAAGAAGTATTCAAGAGAATAGAAAAGTTCAAATCACAAATGAAGAGAAATAGTTCTTTAGGAACAATCAAAGATTAATCTTCAGGATCATCCAATTCTTTGTCGTACATGTATATCATTTCAACTTGATATGGTGTGACCTCTTTATATAGACCACCACTCATAACGCTGAATAGTATCAAATATGAGCGCCTTAAAGACATCACTAGTTAGTGGCTCAATATAAATAATGGTAGATGGTGGGTTGTGCCGAGATCGGGTGGGGGTACAATAGGAACATGAACTATGCAACCAAAAACTTTTAGGTGACTAATGTTTGGTTATTGACCAAGTACAAGTTGCAATAATGAGTATGTATGGTATGCAATTGGTTTAACAAATTAATAATGCTTTCCCATACACAAACACGTAGTTTAATTTTCATAAGCAAAGGTCAAACAATTAAGTTACGCAAGGGAAAGTCACAAATGCACTTAGGTTATGTTTCAATTAATGGATTTAGAATGACTGGATTTGTGCTTCATTGTAGAGTTTTTCTTTAGGTCATGCCAAAAGAAGCTCCACTGATAGATTAACCATTTGGAATTAACGCCCATCAATTGTGGATTAGAATTAACATGATTTTGTTATTTGAAACCCATGCTGCTAAGGATTCTACATAAACACAAGTACTCTAGTTTGATATAAATCTCATACCTCCACTTCATCCCTTCCACCAAGTCTCCCAGTACAATTTCAATACTCTGTTTTGAATTTGAGACCTAAATTCGTTCATTTCAAATCCACCAATCTAAATGCAACCTTATATTGATGCCAGAATCCTAGGTATAACTTATTGATGTAGGATGCTTTAGAGAAAGAGAAGAAAGAGAGGAGATGAAGAAGAGGGCCACATCCCTAACACAATGGCCACAGCCTTTAACACTCAAATTTTCATTAGTCATAACTGAATAATACAGTGCAAAGCTAATACTTGTATAGGCTTAAACCCTAATATTAAAAGGAAACTGAATCCTATTAGAATGTGGAAACAAATAATAATTAAATCGTAAACAAGTAAATCTTTTAATTAAAATAGATACTAAAACAAATTAAGTAATAAATATTAAAGACGAAATTATAAAATCACCGTGGTGTGCACACACTCCGCTTCACTTGTTTATTTATTTATTTTGCTAGATTGTGTCACTTATTTATTTGGAGTACTTTCTGATGACTGTATTGAGTTTTGGGATTTGGATTCTAAATCCACATATTTCAAACAGCACGCATGGACTAGAATTTGTATTCTGAATCTGCATATTTTAAATCATTAGATTGAAGTCCACATATAGATGTCTGCTGTTTGGACCATTCGGTTAGTTAAGAATTTACAAACCTGTTTTGTTTCTAATGCTTGAATCATAAAAAGCATGCGTATTTGAAAGTGTGTGATGTTGGGTCTTATAGATCTGGACCTTCCACGGAGAAGAAAAAATTGAATTTCATTTTCTTTGGAGAGAGAGAGAGAGGGGGGCTTGGAAAGTGATAAATGATTTGTGTATCTTGAAACCCATGCAATTGACTTTTGAATTTATGGGATTGTAGTTACTTGTGTATCTATGTGGATGAGATTAATCTTGCTGCATGGGTTCTGAAGCTTGCCATCTATTCCCCAGTGTGCTGCATCTTTGTGAATGTCTGAATTTTTTTTTTATTTTTTTATTTTTTTATTTTTTCCGTTTTGTTGTTGATGGTGTTGGAACTACTGGGTGAATTTTCTGAAGGTGGATATTGTATTTTTTTATACTTAGAATATGCATTTCCTCGTAGAAGCAGCTTCCATGTGCCTGTCCCTTATTCACTTTGGTTCTTGTGGATTTCTATATTTGTGTAGATATATTGGTTCCTTTGGACAACTATATATCCAGAAGTACTGCACATTTTCTGACATGCAGGGAACCAGATTACCAGCAAAGCCTTTGGAATATGAATTCATCTGTGAGTCACTTCATCCTTCTCAGAAATATCCTTTGACCAGTAGCTGCTATATTGTCAGCATTATGTATGAAACAAGAACACATACATATCTGGATCAGCTGCTTGTTGGACAACTTGCCTTTACAATCCGCTTTTCTGCTTTTATGATTTTTCTCTGTTCCCTCTTTTGGATAACAAGGGCTGCATTCTATTTTATTTATTTATTTTTTTTTCCCACTCAGATCATGGGAGATAAAAATTTGGAGGACAGTGACGTTGTACCTGCTCCTAAGCTTATTGAAGTGGTGTTTCAAAACTGCAGAGGGAAAGTGGATCAATGGGTTGAGCCATATCTTAGGATCACAGTTGAGCGGTTGCGTCGAACTGAGAAACCATACTTGAAATGCCTTTTTTTCCAAGTGGTAAGCAACATCGAGTTTCTCTCTTCTGGAAACTGAAGGCATCCCTCAGAACACCATTTTTCTTTTGTGAATTCTGCTGCTCTGGTGATCTTTCAATTTTTCCTTACTTTTCCATCATTCTCTATGTACGCTGACTTATGTATTCTAATTTTTGTATAGTACTCTACTGATGAGAAGTTGGGGTTAAATTATCTGTTTTGCAGGGTGGGTATATATGTACAGCTCTTCTGAACAGAGTGTATATTTCTTATATATTGAAAAAATTTGATTGTATGAGCAATGAATTAGGTTTATTGATATTCTGGTTAGTTATCTCTGTAGCCACTCGGTAACTAATTCTTTAATCTGAGGAATGTTGCTTAATGTTTAGAACTTAATTGAACTGATCTTAAAGAAAGCTGTGCATGTTTTCAGAAAATGGTAGTGGGTGAATCAGCTTTGGTTCTATCAGTTACATGATCATTGACATGGTAATGTCATAATTCCAGACATTATTTGTTCAGACAAAAAAGATGGAAGGCTTGTTCATTGGGATTCTGTCCTTACAAAAAACTGTATACATTCAAACACAAACTTCTGGGTGTAATATTTCCAGTTAACTTGGGTGACTTTGAGAGTCTTCGAGAGTTGTGCCTATAATAGGAGAAGGATAGATATTAAGGATTCCTGTAAACTAAGCATGTTTTGCAAGGAAGAATTGTTGCATTTATGATTTTTTTTAAATATTGTTTGTTTTTATAGTGCACATTGACGTGCATGTTGTGAATAGTTATGTGCATTTCTAATACAGTATCATATACCGCATGTATATAAATTTTACTGGGGATATGCTTTGGAGTTTTTTTATTATGCTTTGAAGATTTCCTTGTGGTGAACTTTTTTGTGCTCACTAGTATTTAAGTTGTTTTGCAGATTGCTGATGCTCTTTACTACAATGCATCTTTGACTCTCAACATACTGCAAAAGCTCACTGTTGCTACGGAAATCTTTAACCTTTGGTTCCAGATGCTGCAACAAACTAAGAAGAGTGGAGGGCGTGCTAATTTCAAAAGGTGATTTTCATTTGTGTTCATTCTTTTTCAATGAACTAACTCCCAAAACCTTCTTCTTCTTCTTCTCTCTTTTTTTATTTTTTATTTTTTTTTTCCACAAACAAAAAGAAAAAGAAAAAAGAAAAACAAGTCTCTCCTTTGGTGTCTCATGCATGTTATGCTGGTGTTGCAGAGAACATGATAAAAAAGTTTGCTGCTTGGGGTTGACTTCACTGCTTCCACTTCCTGAGAGAGAGAGTACCAGCGGAGGCTTTAGGGCGTGTTTTTAGGGCTACTCTTGATCTACTTGTTGCCTACAAGGAACAAGTGGCAGGTGCTTTATTAATTTCTTCATCCCCAGTATAAAGTTCTTTCTCTCCACCCAATTTTTCATCTATTATTTTCTAATGATTCTAAACTGCTGAGTTTTCCTAAAAAAAATAAAAATAGAATTTTATCTTTAAATAAATGATTCTACCGTTGTTCTTCCACTTCTTGTCACTTTATATAATTCTATGTTCGTTTTGATCCAATGTGGACAGAAGCTTCACTGGAAGAAGAGGCTGAAGACGACGATGATATGGATGGTTATGGAGATGATGATGGCAACAGGTCTGACAAGGAAATGGGAATTGATGCTGAGGATGGGGATGAAGCTGACAGTATTACACTTCAAAAATTAGCTGCCCAAGTAAGTCACGGTTTCATCAATCTTTTGAAATTACTGCTTCTTTTTCTTTTTAATCAAAGCATATGCATGAAAATGAAATCATTTCATTTCGTTTTCTGTCCACTACAATCATTTAGAATGCAGTAAACTAAGAGAAGCGAATGATGGAATGAAAATTGACATAGTTTCTTGATCTTAAATGTGTTTATGCTACCATCTTAGGGAAGTCTTCTCTTGCATGGTTGTTTCTTATAACAAAAAATTGAAGATTAAGAAAGCCATGAAAAAAATCTATAAAATTGAGCTATGGGTAGTGATGTTGAAAGCGGAAAGGTGAACATGAGAGGTTGGTATATGTTATCATCTTCTCTTGCTAGGTGACCAGCTTAAACGCTGTTTTATTTTTTTCGTTTGCCTTTTAGGCTAAAAATTCCCCCAAAAGAACATTTTTTGGCATTTTTACCCTAAAAAGCTTACTTTTAGGCCCGTGCCAAACAGGGCTTCTCTCTCTCTCTCTCTCTCTCTCTCTGTGGGGGGAGCGAATAAGGGAGGAAGAAGAAACAAAATGATAGCATAACAAACAAAATACAAAACAGGAATTGTGGACCACCTTTAAGTGTAAAAAATGGGTGACCTTTAAGTATATCATGTGTCTCTCTATATGTGTTCGTACTTATCAAAAAGTAATAATAAATGTTTCTATATTACTAAAAAAATGTGAATGTATGTGCTTATAAAATTTTCATTTCTTGATATCACTTTTTTTTTTTATTTTCATTTGACTTGCTGCCTCAGTTGATATTTTATCATTTTTCTTGCATGTACAACTAACGCATTTAGTCTTTCACCTGTTCATACTTTGATATTTTGGGTTGCAGGCAAAGGCTTTCCGTCCAATTGATGATGATGATTACGATTCGGATGATGACTACAGTGATGATGAAGAGTTGCAATCGCCCATTGATGAGATTGACCCTTTTCTTTTCTTTGTGGATACTGTCAAAGGTAAATAGTGCAAATATCTCTACTTTGTCCCTTTATGGAAATCAGAAATTTCTTTTGGGATGGTGTTTGACTGACATGAATTTTTTTCTTCAATTTCTTACAAGTTTTGCAAGCATCCGATCCATTGAGGTTTCAGAACCTCACACAGACACTCGATTTCCAGTATCAGGCGGTGGCAAATAGTGTTGCTCAGCATGCTGAGCAGAGAAGAGCAGAGATTGAGAAGTAAAAAATGGAGAAGGCATCATCTGCATCTGCTGTGGCTGCTGCCGCATGATTACAGTTACTGTAAACAATCTTGTGGTTTGAATTTTGCTTTCTCTCTCCAACTTCTTTGGTAAAACCGTTCATTTGCCAAGAATTGTTGCCAAGTCTGGATGGAGTTTTTGGTTGGTTCACTGGATATGGTAGTCAGCGAACCAACCCTGAACAGTCTTTCAGGTTCCAATGATAGCAAAACGTGGAGTAGGGAACTCTGCTGCACCTCATTTGCTGCTGAGCGTGTAGGTTCAGGTAAGTCATTGTCTGGTGGGTTGGCTATTCTATGGCAGAAGGTGCCTTTTTTGCCTCGATGTGTGCCTTGTAGCTACAATTTTATGGTGATCATATTCCCAAACTAGGTTAATATAGATTTAGAAACCCTTGTATCTGGTTTACAAGGAAAGTGGTTTACAGGCTCTGTCACGTGTCACTATATATGGGTAGGCGTCAAGTGCAGTGTGGTGGCTGTTGACATTTTTTGGTGAGAGTGAAACTACATTTACAAAAAGAGAAAAAAAAGAACTCATTTGTTATCAGTTGATAGTGTATAAATATATTGCGTTATTGGTTGGGGAGGTTTTTGGTCGAATCATACTGTTTATTATTCATTACATGCTCTGATTAATGGGGGAGAATTGGGTTTAATCCTCCATTTATATGTAGAGCTTGCTTATAACATGTTGAACACGACTTATCGGAGGAGAGTTCTTTTTGCCTGAATGTTTGAGAATAAAATTTTGGTATTTTGTTCTATAAACGTTACTCTTCATTTTTACTCGTTAAATTACCAAAAAAGGTACACTGTATTTTATCTAACCATATTTTTATTTATGTGTTCTGGGGCTACTTTTTATCTTTCCAATTTATTCACACAAACTTTTTAAAGAGCCTTTCAGGACTCTCCAATCCAAATGTTACTAGCTTGGAAGAGTTTGGTTTAAATAGTTGTAGCTAGCCCGTTGAAGGGAGTAAAATAGGATGTGACTAGCCTCTGTTAAAGAGTCTGTTGGAAGCTCTTAGGTGGTGATCTAAAAGTGTACTTTCATTACCAATTACAATCTTTACATTTGAAATTTCTAGCTTTCTCTGTTTGTAGGCAGAGATAGGTCTTGAATTTCTCATTTTCCTTTTCTATGTTTGTTTTCTGTTTTTATTTTTTAATTTTTGTTGTCATTGTCAGATTGCATCCAAGATATGTTTATGCTTCTTGTTCTGTTTACAAGTTTGTTTAAATATGTATATGCTAAAAGTCGTGGTACACACGATGGTAATGCATAATTTGTTAAATTTAATATAATTTATCTGGCAGCCCCTCCTCCCCTTGGCAGCCCCCCTCCCTACTTCTGGTAGCTACTTCCTAGCCCCTCCCCGCCTCTGTGACCACCTTCCCAGACTTTAGTCCTCCTCCGGTGCTATCCCAATCCTCCTCACCTTTGGTGTCTACCTTCCTCCCTTGTGCAGCGCCCCCATAGCCACACAACCCTTTTCATGCCTTCACAACACCCCTACAGCCCTAGCTTGCCATCACCCAACTCTAACGATGACACTTGTCTCTCCATCACCCAACTCTGAACAGTTTGAGGCGTGGCTGGGGTGGGGTATGTTTTGGGAGATTTAGGGATGGTAACAAAATTGAAAGGTAGGGATGATTTTGGGAGGATAGGGATGAGAACAAAATTGAAATTGTATAATAGGATAAAATTGTAATACAAAATAGTATGATGAGGTGGGGTCTAAAAGAAGAAAGTAAGGTGCTATTAGTAGCACTCAGTACTATGTGGTCGGCATTGGACCGATTTGTAATGAGGGGAGACAACGATTATATTTCCATTTCATCTTTTTGTATTCATTAGGGATAGGCGCGGGTCGGTTACGATCACGGAATCTTCAATTCGTCATCCGTCCGACAAATTTGTGAATCGGAAGGCGGATTGGAGAAAATCAATCTACATCCATTTGCCAATTCGGCGGATGTGGATTGGGCGGATTGGCGGATGAATGCGAATCGGTTTGGCGGTTTAAAATTTTATAAATTTTCAACATAATTCAATTTGTGCACTTTTTAAAAAAAAAAAAAAAAAAAAGCATTACAGTCAATGATTTAAAAAAGTATTACAATTACTGCATGCTTTATCCAAAGAAAGTTTTGAAACTTTAAAATATTACAATCACTACATGCTTTATTCACATATTACAATCAGCATGTCTCATTCGCATAAATTATTACAATATGTTGTGGTTTTTAAAATATAAAAACAATTCAAACTACCAAAACTATGAACAGAGCAGTAGTAGAGATTGTATGCCTTTGTATTGTTATATTTATATCTGTTTTTGAAAACAGAAATCAACCATCATATATCATCTTTTTTATTTATTATTTTTAGAGTTAGATTTAAAAATCAAAAAATATAGATAAATAATACATTTATTTTTTTCAATTCAAAAAATATATTTAAGTTGAAAACTCTTTTTCAACCGAATATATTCAACAAAAATATTTAAACTTTTTTTCAATTGAAAACACAAACAGAATATCTAGATAAATTGAAAACACAAAGCCTTACAAATTATTAGGGGTGCTTGCGGCTTGACGGTTCGGCTGCGGTCAAATTAACCTCAAATTCTCCATTCGTCCAAAACTAGGCAGATAGAAAAAAAATCAATTCGCAACAGTCCATTCGTTATCACGCATCTGTCCAAAATGCGGCAAATTAGTTCGGTTCGGTCGGTTTAGACGGATCGGTATATCTGCTGCTCACCCTTTTTAGTTTTGTAATATCAAAAAACCAAATTGAAAAAAAGAAAAGAAAGATAAAGTCTCAAATTGTAGCTACGATTGTTTGTTCAGTAAGCTATGTCCGAACATATACCATTTATTTGGGAGTGATTGATCAAATAAGTTTGAACAAAAAAGAAGAAAGGTCATAATAAATCATAGGTAATTATAAATACGTTCTATGAAATTTATTTAAAATATTAATTATTCTGATAATTCTTGAAATTATATCTTGCTTCTTCAATTTTTTTTTTTGGTATAACAAATGATTCTTTTTATTAATAAACTGTGAAGTCAATTAATATTTTTTAATGTTAGAAATATATTTTAATTAATATTTGTAGTACTTTTGTTGTTATATAGGAGGGTGGTTAGGATTTTTTTTTTTTTCTCTGTTAACTCTATTAAATGATAAATTTTTACACATGATGGGAGTATTTATAATTTTCAAAATTATAAGGGCAATTTGTATTTTACGTAAATGTCAAGTATATTTGTAATTTATCTTAAAATCATTGATAATTTTGAAAAAGTAGTTTTTGGAGAGTTTTTATGAGGGTTATTTACACGGAGATTCTCTAAACTATTGAAAAATATCATTTTGACTTCTTAAATTATAAAAGCGTACAAATAGACTCATTAAACTATTCAGGATAAATTACACTAACTGTCCCTATAGTTTGGAGCTCATGTCACTTTGATCCCTGATTTTTTAATTGTGACACATTTGATCCTGAATTTTGAATCTTGTTCCAAATAAGGACAATTGAAGATACAATTGCTTAATTTCAAGGATAAAATCGTCAATTTGATAAAATATAAACTAATTTGACAAAAATAAATCTTGAAAAAATATTTTTAAATTTTTAAAAATTATTTCTACCCACCAAAAATAAAATTATGTAAAATTGATAAATCTTAACATTTATTTATTTATTTTTTCAACAAATTAATTTTTATTATGTGTTTGGATGTTGATCGTGTAATGGGTGGTTGTTAGGATTTTAATGTGTAATCAATATTTTTAATATATGAAATGTTTCTAGTTTTGAATTTTTTGATTTAATGGATTGGTTAAATAATTATATTAAAATTGTCACTATATTTTACTTTTAAAAAAATAAAAAATTAATTTAATTAAAATAAAAACAACTACTCATTACATGATCATAATCCAAACACATAATAAAAATTAATGTAGCAAAAAAATATAAAATTAAATATCTAAAAGATTTATCAATTTTACATAATTTTATCGTTAATTCGTAGAAATAATGTTTAAAAATTTCAAAAATATTGTTTGACATTTATTTTTGTCAAATTAGTTTATATTTTATCAAATTGATGATTTTGCCCTTGAAATTAAGCAATGATATATTCAATTGTCCTTATTTGGAATAAGATTCAAAATTCATGGTCAAATATGTCATAATTGAAAAGTCAGGAACCAAAGTGACACAAGTCTCAAACTATAGGGACTGTTAGTGTAATTCGACCAATTATTGAGAAGTATTGTTTTGTTCTCTAAATGATAAAAGCGTACAAATGGACCTTATAAATTATTGGTGTATTTTACTTTGATCCCTTCTATTAGGACTCTAATTTGTACATTTTAAAGGTTTAGGGGGTTTATTTGCACGATTTTTTAACTTAGGGGGCAAGGTGATGCTTCTTAACAGTTTAGGGGTCCATTTGTACGCTTTTATAATTCAGGGAGTTAAAGTGATTCTTCTGCATAGTTTAGGGAATTCATTTGTATGCATTTATAGTTTAGATAGTTAAAGTGATACTTTCAAATAATTTTGAGGGTCTTCATATAAATAACCCTTTTTATTATCCAACAAAAGCATCTCCTTACATTCTGGGTATTTTTATATGCACACCACTCATTTAAGTGTCTATTGTCTTTCAAAAATTTTTTTTATTACAATTTTGTCTCTCAATCAAATTATATTTTGAAACAAAATTCTAGAACTTAATTTCTTAGTACACACCTACATACAACCACCAGCCACCCTTGCAACCCTACCACCCTCTGGCTCTGGCAACCCCTCTTAGTAGGGTTACCAATGAATCGAGTCGAATCAAGTTTTATTGAGTTTGAGTTTGATTCGTTTACTTGTTGATCTCATTTATTGAGCTTAAGCTCGGTTCAATAAGTAACCAGACTTGAGTTCGGCTCGGCTAGTTAATATTAATGAAATTTGAGATCGGCTTGGCTTAGCTCGATAATATTTTTTAAATAAAAATATTTAAATATGACGGAATATAACGACAAGAGCCAGATCAATCAAATTATATATATATATTTTTAAATGTTTAAAATATTTTTAAACTCAAGCTCGGCTCAGTTCGGTCCAATCAAATTATATTTTTTAAAAAATTTAAATTTTGGTGTCACATCAGTACATTTTGTTCAATTGTAAACGGAATGTGACGGTAGAAGTCAAATTGATTAAAATTTCAAAAGTTTGGATGTAGAATTGATATTAATCGAAGTGTGAGAGTCAAATTGAAAAATGTAAAAAAAATTGAGACGCGAAATGATATTTTCTCTTTTTATAATTAGAAGTTCAATATATATAGATTCATAAATAAAAAATAAAAAAAATATTTACTAATAATTGTGGTGTCTTTGTCTAAATAACCCTTGATGAATTTTGGTACATAGAGGTAGTTGATGGACAGAGACATGAAGAAATGAAGAAATTGAATGAGTGGGCCATCTTGAAAGAGAAGTTATTTGGTGATATTGGGATACAGTGAGGCGTGTTATGATTAGTAAAAAGTGAGGTGTGATTCATGATTTTGAATTGAGATACAGAAAAATAACAAATAGCATAATGTTTAACGATTGGTAAGTAACATGGCACATGATTCCCAAATATACCAAATAATTTCCACAATCAAGAGGTCGTTGAATCATTTTGTTGCTTTGGTACATAGTTCGTTGCATCATTACACATACATTGAAAAACAAGGTAGAGGCATGGAATGCATGTGTGGGAAGAAAAGTTTGGCTTTAAATTCATTTATGCTAGGAATCAAAAATATAATTATTCAAATAATTATTTTTTTATATCTTTGTAACTACATTTATGAGCTATATTTTATTTTCTGTCTCTCTTTTTTTTTTTTTATGGGTTTAATTATATTTTTTTATCTCTGTAGTTTTATTCAAATTTTACTTTAAGTCTTATAGTTTTAAATTAAAACAATTTAGTCCATACATCTCAAGTGTAGGTTCAATTTAGTTCTTCAGTCCAAATTAATAATTTTGGGACACTCATTAATTTTCAATAGTGTATGCGCAGATAAAATTAACAAAAATTTAGATAGAAAAACCAAATTAAAATTAGGCCTACACTGTAATATATGGACCAAATTATTCAAATTAAATAATAGAGATTAAAGGAAAATTTGGATCATACTACAAGGATAAGAAGTGTAATTAATTTTTTTTTTCTTCCTCAACATTTCTTGTATATGACCATTTTTTGGAGGAAATTTTTTCCTCATTTATTAAAACTTCTGCACCATTATTTTTCCTCATATCAAACATAATATAAACTTACGCCACCACGTCAAAAATGCAAAAATTCAGGGTCCACACGTAACCTCAGCGAAATCTTAACATGAGACCTTTATATATTTACAGGGAAAAAAAATTACTTACATGTATATTTTACTAAAATTTACATATATAGATATCAAAATTCAATTTACAGTATTAAAAAAAATAATAATAAATCGAAAACTATGATATCAAATAAAAAGTTAAATAAAATGAGTGAAATGTTAACATTACTCTTCAGGCACTTTCAACAGCAAGTACTAATTAAATTTGTATAATTTAACTTATTTATTATATCAAGTTTTAGAAAGTAATTATGAAAATTCAACTCCATTTATGTTGTGTGGGTAATTCTATTTTTACACTAAATCTTCTTAGTACACATCTTTTTTTAAGGTACACACTTATGCTGTGTTTGGTTGGGGGATTTGGGGAGGGATTTGGAAAGGGAAAGGGAAAAGATGTGTGAAACTAGGTGAAATGTAGGTACATTTTATTCACATTTCACCTAACTTTTCCCTTTCTCTTTCCAAATCCCTCATCAAATCCTTCAACCAAACACAGCGTTAATGATTTTTAAACATCAAGTTTTGTTTAGAGCACATCATCCTTCCTTGTCAAAAATACCTGTAACTCCTTCAAACCAAACCTAACATAACCCAAGCCACCACTTGTAACACCCCAAAATTAATTAAATTAAAACATTACTCATAACATGATTAATCTGAAATCTTATCATGCCAAACAATAACATTAATCCCAAAAGCCCTCTTTTCTATTGAACTACATATCAAATATTATAAATTTTCAGATTTTTGTCTTAGTTACAACAACATTAACAAAGTTCAATAAACTAAAGGATAAAAATAATAATGCCTTAATGGCGTATAAACATTAAGGCGAGACCTTGTTACAACAAAATGGATACACGGTTCCAAAATACATATGCTCGTCCCAACAAAAAAAAAGACTCCCCCTCCTTCTCGTAGGGGTGGTTGCACATCACCGATTCCTGAAATTATTAGATATGAGTGAGCTAGATGACAGTAAAAGTACTTTTTATCAAAGTATCTAGTTATTCGAAAATTCATATGACATTATCACAATCAAACATATTTAATTCAACTCATAGTATTAATTTAAGAAAGAACACATGAATTCATAGCTTTCACAATTACACAATTCAACATCGGGGGGTAAATATGCCATGAAATTCCTAAAGAGAGTCTCAATACATACACATACATAGGTTTATATCCAAAATATCCCCACATTTACCAGCTATTAATACGGTAGGAAATGGACACCCAAAGTCATCTGTTTTTTTCGCTTTTACCAACTATAATACAGTAGGACCAGTGGACACTCAAAAACAATTTCCCACATTCGTCCGACAACAAGCTCAAGACAGGGCAATCGAGCACTTAAACTTTCCCCCGCGCGGGTACCAACACATAACTTTTTCCAAAAATCGACTCCCTACCCAGACTCATATGCTATTTACCACCTCCTTAAACAATCTTTCCAAGATTTCCAAGTATTCATACATTCTTTAGGTAAAGGGTAATGTACACCACTCCAGTAATTTAATGGAGTAATGAGCAACAATATTCATAATTCAAGAAAAATCTCAAGAGGTTCCAATTTCACAAGTCTCAATCAATACATATTCAAATATCATAATCCATTCATCAATTTAAAGAATTAAAAATCAATTTCATCTTTTTCCCAAATTTTACAACATGTGTTTTTATAAATTTGGGGCTTTTACCCCTAAATCGTGTTAAATGTTATTTCCCAACTAAAATCTTCATAATTCATAGCCATTAATAGAAATTTTAAGAAAATGTAGAGAAAATTTTATTTTTGAAACAAAATCCAATTTTGTAAACTCAATCATTAAATTATAGCATCAATATCATAATAGCACCACATAAACATCATCAAAATAAAAAGATATAAGATTAAAAGTAATCCTACCTCCAAGATAAAAGTAGAGAAGCTAGATCAAGAAGATTCCTTCAAAAAATCCAAGATCCAATCGGTTGAAATGTTGGTCTTCACTTGTTCTTCATCTTTAATAGAAGATCTATGGTGGATTCTTGGTGAAAAATAGATGACATCACAGTTCGGAGGTCTGGGGTTTCGGGTATGGATGAGAGAAAGAGAGGAGGAAGAAAGAACGAAAAGTTTGGGTCAAAAAGTGACTTTAAAGTGCCTAACTTCGAATAGACCGCTTGAGCGGTCAAAGCTTGGCTCGAGCGGGCAAATTAAACTCCTAAAATCTCAGAATCCCGTTCGAGTAGTCAAAAGTTCACTTGAGCGGACTTACTTCCAATACATGTACTCAAATTTCAAACAGACATAACTTCCTCGTTCGGACTCTGTTTTACGTCATTCTTGTATCCAAATCGAAGTCCTGAAAACAAGCTTTCCAATGATTCTAGCCTCACATCCAGATTCAAAGTGTGGAAAGAGAAAAAGGAAAAAGAGTAAAAACTGCTCATAGGACAATTATCCGAATCAATATTTTTGGTTCAATCCTACTTTACCATTATGATATCACCCCTAATCAATACTCTAAAATCAATTAAAGAGGCTTCAAGTACAATAATAAGAGGGTCAAAAGAAATCCTACTAGTCCAAGGAGCACGGAGTGTCACACCACTTGCCACTACCACTATCGCCATGAACCACTGCAAACTTTGGCCACCATCACGAGCCTTCCATCTCACCTTCGTTGCTTATTACCATCTCTAGCGGTCCTTCTCAACCCTCTCACACCCTCTTCCACCATTCCCCTCACACCTTCGCCCCCACTTAGTCTTCTTTAATACCGTCCTTGCAAACCTTGCTGCTCGCAACTCCCTTACCTGTAACACACCAACCCTTCCTACACTCCGACGGCCACGATATAGAGACATTCACAGAGAAAAAGATCGCACAACTAGGGTTTTGAAATAAAGAGAGATCGTCAGCGACTAGGGTTTTAAAGAGAGAAATCGTGGTGGCTATGGTTTCGTAGAGAGCAAGAGGGCTACGACTATGATTTTGACATAATGAAGCGTGGTGGTTGCGAGGGTGCCAAAGAGAGGCTGTGGATTGAGTTTGCAATGGTGGGAAGCTCGTGGCAATGGGGATTTTGAGGTGGCAAAGTTGCAGCAATGGTAGTTTGTGGTGTTGGTGGCTAGGGTTAGGTTTAAGAAGTTAAGATTTTGGTGGAGAAGATAAGGGCATTTTGATAATTTTATTTTAGGACAAAATTGTAATAAAATAATATATCACTAAGTGTTTGAAGAAAGAGGAAATGGCATGTGAAATAGAAGCTCCCATCTTGTGCCCTTTCTCCTAAAGCATTCTTCTCTCTTTTTGGATCTGGTTAAGCACAACCACTAATAAACACTTTACTTTTGACATGGTTGATCAAAGATAAGATTTGATCAACTTTAATTTTGAGAAACTTGTCCCCATAAGCAATTATAACTAGTGTGTACATTTGACAATATTTTTGAACTCTTTCCTTTGGATTGGATTTTTAATTTTTTAATTCTTGTAATGTACCTAGAAAATTTACACACAAAAAACATCTCTAAAAACATTGTGTGATTAAGATTTAATTCAAGTGTAGTTCTCATTATATAAAAATTGAATCCCGACTACACATCACTTTTTCTTATTAGCTTTTAAACAATTGTTTTTGAGTTACTTGTTTTTTTCTTTTTTTTTTTACTCGAGAAATAATAAGTATACCAAAAAAATGTATACATAATGCAAGATCAACTTTTTTGGAGCCCTAAATTTCAACGAAATTTAAGACCCTAGGAGGCAGCCTTGCCGGCCTATATCTGGGGCGGGAACCGAAAAGATTGCCACATAACATGAGGTCATACAATCTGGACAATTATGTTACCATCACACACACTTATAAAATAGAATAATGTATAAGTGGGTGTTTTTATAACAGTAATAATATAAATATATATAAAAAAAAGTTTGAATTTTCTTAAGTTGGCAATTTAATTTAAGAGAGGGTTTGGGTATGATGAGCCTATTTTGGAGTCAACATCGCCTTGTTTGTTTTGAATTTCAGAAACTATTTTTTGAATTTGTTTTGAAAAAATAAAAATTAGTTTGACAAAAATAAATATTAAAAAAATATTTTTGAATTTTTAAAATTATTTCCATTCTCTAAAAAGATAAAATTATAAAAATGATAAGTGCTTTTAATTTTTTCGTTTTTTTTCAAAACAAATTTTAAATATTTTAGAAAAAAAATTGAAATAAATTTCTAAAGAGGAAACCAAATACGGCCTATATATTTGAATCACATTTGTTTTACAATAATAAACAATAAATATAATTTTAAAAATAATCATAATTTTTTATAATATAAATATTATTCAAATATATAATTATTGGATACAGGATTAAAGTGTGCTAACGAAATATCAATTGCCAAAAGTTGGAGAGGTTTTTGGTAGTTTTTTTTTTTTTTAGCTAGCACACAAGTCTTAAATGTGTTGGGTATACCTCCTTATTGGAGTGTGGGATCCAATTAATTTTGGAAAAGAGTTTAATTTGGTTTAGTATTAATTATAATATATTTTTATATATTATATTTAATTTGTGGAGACCCAATCCAATTTAGAAACAACTAAGATTTGATAATCAACCCTAGATTCACAATATTATAATGTGTGTATTGTTTTTCCCAAAGAAAAGTGGCAACCGTTTTCTTGGTGAGATAGTGCGTCGGAAAAATCAGTGAGGAGCAGGAACAAATTGATTTGGTGCATCTTTGTTTGGGTGCTTTGGTGAAGTTGGTTTGGGTTATTATTTTGGATTTTCTTCAACTCTAGTTCTGAAGATTTTGGTTCATCTATTTGGTGAGGTCTTTCCTCTTGTTTATTTGTCATTATTTGGAATTCACCTAAGGATAGTTTTGTGAGACCATTAGTGTCTCGTTTGTAATCGTTTGGAACTTATTTGGTTGATAGTGGAATCAGATTTCGATCCCGTGAACGAACCTCACATTGAGGGAACCATATAAAAATTCTTGTGTTGCTTCTGATTTAATTTTTTCACATTAGTTTTTATTCCTATTGATTGATTTACTTGTGGGGAATCACATATTTTCCCTAACAACTGGTATCAAAGCTTACGGTTTATTGGGATTTATTTATTTGTGTAAATCAATAGAGGGGAATATGGGTCTTATGTCTAGCTTCAATGGAAACAATTGGGTAACTTGGAAAACTAAAATGGAGGACCTATTATTTTGTAAAGACTTGTATGGGCCTATTGAGGCTAATAGTGGCAAACCTGATGATATGAAAGATGACGAGTGGAAGAGGTTAAATCGAAAAGCTGTTGGTGTTATCCGTCAATAGATTGATGACAGTGTGTTTCATCATGTTGCTACTGAAACTTCGGCACATGATTTATGGAAAAAATTAGAGAGTCTTTATGATAGAAAATCAGCCACAAATAAAGCCTTTCTGTTTCGTAAGTTGGTTAATTTAAAGTATAAAGAGGGCAGCCCTATTCCGGAACATCTGAATCAAATAAAGAGTATTGTTAACCAACTTGCTTCTATGAAAATTATTTTTGATGATGAGTTGCAGACTTTGATGCTACTTAGTTCCTTACCCGAAAGTTGGGAGACTTTGGTTGTGACAGTTAGTAATTCGGTACCTGATGGAGTTGTCACAATAGGCCAAGTCACTAGTAGCTTGTTGAATGAAGAAACTAGAAGAAAATCAGCGGGGTCCTCTCATTCAGAAACATTCGTTGTGAGGTGAGGTGGCAAACTAACAAGATCTTCG